TCCTGGGCTCAAGCAAGTCTCCTGCCTCTGCCTCCCAAGTAGCTGGGACCACAGGCGCCCACCACAGCGCCCGGCTATTTTTTGGTTGCAGCCATCATTGTTGTTTGGCAGGCCCTGGCTGGATTTGAAACTGCCACCTTGAGTGTACATGGCTGGCACCTTAGCCACTTGAGCCACAGGCGCTGAGCCAGGGATGGGCTCTTATATCTCTTAGCCTCTCTCTAGAATGCCAGCTGCCACAGGGGCAGAAATGCTGTGCACTGTGGGATTCCTGTGCCTGGCACAGCAGAAGTGACTAATAAATATGTGTTGAATGAATGAAAAGTTTGGATAGAGAAGAGGAATCATCCTCAGGAGTGGGGAATCTGGCCCCTTCCCATGACTTAGCAAACACCAAGAAGGACTGACTGTGCCGGGCACTGTTATACTTTATACATGAACTTCTTAAATCCTTACAATAACTCCATCTCTCTTCTAAAGCAACTTATCTTTGCTTAGTGCCTGCTGGACCTAGCATTGTTTCCTTACACTATTGGGTTGACACTTTCCTGTGATCTCCAGTAGTGAAGGTTGTAGGTTTCTAGGTGTCCGATACCAAATTCCCCAATTCTAGCCAAGAGGTCAGTCTCCATTTGAGAACCTCCCTCATACACGCAGTTTCGCTGGGGTTGTTTCTACCCTTTGCTCAAACTCGGCATATGGTCTAGGATTGGCCAATCAGGCCACAGCACCCCCTCACTAATATGATTGGTCAAATAGCCAGGATCTAAGCTAGTCCTATTAGAGTAAACCTGAGTTAGAACTTCGCCTAGGACAGATGCTTGCTCTTTTGGGCTGAACTTGAACTTGGAAGGATGATGCCCTGAAAGTCATGAGAGTCACCTGCCTGAGAATGAACCAGCCAGCAGAAGGTTAAGGCAGAGCCAAAGGGTACAGGAAAACAAACCCTGATGACATCATTTGAGCCCCCTTGATCAAGCTACACCTGAAGTCATGGTATTTCCAAACTTGAATCAATAAATTTAATTTCTGTTTAAGCAGGTTGAATTGTGTTTTCTGTTTGCAATAGCAAAAGTCCTGACTGGCAGGGCATGAAAGTTTTAAGACTTCCACAGGCATATGAAGCTCAGGATCCCACCAGCAGATCAGAAAGTCCTGAGAGATGGCAGGGGTCAGCTGAACCCAGACTCTCGGTTGGCTGGGCAGATATCTCGAAGATTTAGAGAATTTAATTTATTTCATGTTGACCTAAAAAAAATGAGAACTGAAGCCAGAGGAGAAAAGTTCTGAGACACAGATTTTTGTTCAGTAGAACTTTCAGATAAGCTAGACCATCAATATTGAAGGAGACTGTCTCAGGAGGGAGTAAGATCCCTGTCTTGGAAAGCATACAAGTAGTGGCTGGCAACCACGTGGCCTAAAGTTTCCAGAAGGGAGTCAGACATCAGGTGGCGCTGGGGTAAATGAGTAGATGCCTCCATGTGAGCCCCCAGTGCTGACCGCAGTAACACAGGGGTGGCTTGCTGGGGTCTGGGGTTCCCAGCTGCCCCTGGGAAGGCAGGAACATGAGAAGACTGGGATGTGGTGCTTACAAATTCATACCCTCCCGGCCCCAGGGGCTCTCCCCTGCAGAGAAGAGCATCAACCAAGCTCTGCAGCCATCTGCTAAGAAATGCCACAAGGAGGGGACAGCATGACCAGCTGGGGCACCATCAGGCTTTGCATGGAACCCTGGAGGGTCAGAACCATCTGGGTGGGAGGCTGGAGTGTAACCTGTCAGTGAGAAAGTCATGGGGTAAGAATTTGAGGACAAGCAGAACCCATAGCTCCTGGCTTTCCTGGTTCACAGTCTTAGCTGCTGGCCTTAGCTTAAGTTCTATCCCCCCACCAGACTGTCCTCCTTCTCACCACACCAAGTCCTCTCTGTCCTTCTCATCCCACCCTCAGGAAACCTTGCAGCCTGCCTCCAACTCACACCCACCAACTCACATCCACCCTGCCCTCCTCTGCCCCAGGGGTCTCGTAGTGCAGTGTGTCCCATCTCTACCCAGACGAGGGTGGACAATTAGGTTCAGGAAACTCATCCTAGAAAAAGTGTTCACATACCTCATTGCTGGATATCACCCTGGTCACCTTTGAAGTATGTCCCTTGGGAATTTATGCGCCGATCCCAAGGTCTAGTCCACCCTTCAAAATACTTTTTCTAGGATGAGTGCCTGAACTTAATTATCCAACCTCGTATGACGACAGTTCTATGGCCATTCCAGAAAAAGAGTTCCAAAATTGCCTTGAAAGGTGGACCAGGCTCTGATGCCAGTGCCTGGCTTCCCCAGGGGAGTACTTCAAAGGCGACTGTAGTGATATTCAACACGAGGGATGTAGCACTTTTTCTAGGATGAGTACATGAACTTAATCATCTGACCTTGTATGTATAGGGTGTTGGGTGTCCCTAGCTTGATTGGGCAGAATGGGGGCTCACTGACTCCCCATCCCCCGGCTCAGGGAGCTGGGCATTTGGGCCTTCAGAGAGCAGGACCGCCTTAGGCAGACGACAAGAAGGCTGGGGAAACTGAGGCTACCTCAACACCCACCCCTCTTCTGTCCTGGCCTAAACACCACTCTCAGTGAACTGCTTAATAGCTGGACACTTCCCTTCCAGTCCCAGCCTTCTGCACGTGGGGGAGGGGATCTTACCCTAAAGGATGCTGCAGGGGCGCTTCTGTGGCCGCGTGGGCTGCGGGCAGAGGACAGCCCGGATCGCCTCATCAAAGACAGTCTTCAGGCCCCTCTGGGTGAGGGCTGAGCACTCCAGGTATTTCACTGAGTCTGGGTAGGAAGCAGGCAGCAGTAGAGAGGCTGGGTCAGGGGAGGGCTCTGGACAAATACCCATCCTGAGCCACACAACTGAGCTTCAGCCTATGGGGGCTGCTGTCCACATTCCAGGACCAATGGGGCCACCTCAGAGCTGGGAGCTGGGAGCCATGTCACCCTGAGCAGGCAGCTTCCTCACTGTGCCTCAGTTTCCTCGTGTCTGAAGTAGCTTGAATTCAGTGGGAGAAGACCCGCAGGGCAGGTCCATGACTTTCTTGGACACATAAGCCCTTAATTTCTGGAAGTAAGGCAGGAATTTTGATATTTTCCAGGGAAAAAAAAAAGCTCAAGCTTCAGTGACCAAATCTTTGGGCACTTCTTTTTTTTTTTTTTTT